TAAGGATTGTTGTAATAAACTATTAAATCAATCTAATAATTTATTTTTATATCTTATCTATGTAATGGCGTACTTTTATTGTGTAAGATAATATGTGCCTGTTTCGGATCAAGCGGCTTTAATCGTTTCACAACATACCAAGGACCAGTCCAATTGCGTGCTAATTTTTATTTTGTCCCCTTTATCATTTGTCGTTGATTTCTTCTAACTAGATCTCCAATATCGTAGTTAACCTCTCGCACTTTTCGGTCATAATTACGTTTTTGACGACATACGTCTTTTCCTGTCACATCGCTCACAATGATGTATAATCCACAAAGGGAATTTCCCAGGGTACGCACATATTCTGAAGGTGTGGAAACACGGTCTTCTTCCCGATTAACATTTTCTGTCACTAATTCAACAGGTAATTTCATTTCACATTTTTCACAGTTCTATTAAAACGTTCAATCATTCCATCTGATTGAGGATGATAAGCGGTAGTGCTCGTTTTGTTTATCTGCAACATTTTACACAATTCCTGGAATAACTGGCTTTCAAACTGTACACCTTGGTCCGAATGTAATTTCTGGGGACAACTATATCTTTTGATCCAACCACGGAATATGATATTTTCTACTGTCTCAGCCTCAATATCACGAAGAGGGAATATTTCCATAAACTTAGTGAAACAGTCCGCAATCACTAGAATATACACAAATCCGTTGTTTGTTTTCGGGAACGGGCCAGCTATATCCACTGCTATTCGCTCGAATTTCACTCCACTTACATGTATATAGGTTTTCATGTATACGCGTTTCTTGTTACTTGGATGTTTTCGCTCCTCACAGATATCACACGAAGTCACATAATTATGTACACTATTCCTGAGATGAGGCCAATAATACTGGCTTTTATTTAACTTATCCAGTGTTCTTTTGACGCCCATATGTCCTGCTGTTTGTGAATCATGGAAATTCCACATAACATTATCCCTTAAAATTCTCGGTACACAAATCCGGAATCGCTCACAATCACTGTAAATCCATCGAATACACGATACACCTTGTTTCACAGTAATTAATTCCCAACGAGCATATAGAAACTTGCTTTCAAATCCTAATGGGGAAATTGAACTAACTGAGGGCTTCACAAATTCGAAATCTTCTTTCCATTTCAGAAATTTACACATTTCCTTATCGGTCAACTGTGCCTCCCTAATATTTTCCAAAGTTAGTGAATCCTCTGGCTGTTTCTTTTGCCTTGCCCGTAATGGTCGGTTAGCTAGTACATTGACACTACTACAATTCACAGGTGGTACTTCGTCGTCGTCGTCAAATAAACCAATAAGTGATGCTCACATTTACGGGTGCAGTTCTTAGTTGTTCTACGTGGTTATATATTGGTCCTGAATATTCCTCTGTAACATCTAGTTTACATTGTTTGCACGTAAGTCCCTGTACATTTATTCTGCTCAAGCTATCGGCATTTCCGGGTCGCTTTCCTGGTCGGTGCTGAATCTTAAACGTAAAGGCAGCTAACTGCTGTAACCATCTCGCGATCTGTCCATCCGGGTCTTTAAATTTGTGTAACCACACTAAAGATCCATGATCTGTTCTTAATGTGAATTCACGGCCAAGTAAGTATTGTTTGAAATGTTTGACGAAAAACACAAGTGCTAACATTTCCTTGCGGGTTACGCAGTAATTCCTTTCTGCTGTTGACAATGTTCGGCTACCAGTTCTCACAGTATCCATTCCTATTTCCCGTCTTCCTGAATGAATCCAGAATAAAGTAATCACAATCACAATATGGGTCACAAAATAAATAAATAAATCCAGCTTGGAAAAATTAATCCATGGCGTAAACGATTTAATAATTCACGGACTGCTCCTGAAATGCTCTTGTCCTACATCCACAAAACGGACACTTGTAGAAACAGATTTTCCTACTGTTTTTACGAATCCAGTGACGATTGTCATCCTTGGTAAACATTACGAAGCAATTCGGACACTCTTTCCGTTTACTAACGTCTATGCGCCCAGAAAGTAAAAATCGTCCATCCTCCGTAATCGAATATGTGTTCACAAACTGCGGCATTTTTCACTCAAATAATCCATGTACACGGAAAAAGAATAATCCAGATATCACAAGAAAACACAATTCAGATCACTAATGAAGTTGAATAAAATCCACACAGAATAAAATCCATCGAATAAGTTATAAAATTCACATGAATTGATTAAATCCAACCGGAATAATTAAATCCTAGAGAAATTGTTAAATCCCACCGCTGCCACCAGTTGTAACGTCGCCGAAGCGTTAAAGAGCGATAACACTAAATTTCCCATCCTTTGAATGAATTACGCAAAGTTCGTTTCAAAAGTTTATTTACACTATTTACACATCATAATAAATCACAATAACATCCAAGGATCACACATAATTATTCCCAATATTAAAACAATAATGTTGTCAAGTTCTGCAAGCGTTATAATGGACAGGTTCTGCGCAAGTGCTACTGTCTGAGAACATCCCCCCTTTATATAACTTGAGGGCATTGCTCGCGAGGAGCAATGCGTTTTGACCATTACATAATAGTTGACCATTGCTCGCGAGGAGCAATGATACGTAAACAAAAGACTACATGTATCTATAATTATATAATAACGGAATCAAATATAAACAAACATAATGAAATAATTTAAGATCGTTACACACACTCTATTAATTTAATTCGCTTTAAATATATGTAACTGAATATCTGCAGCACTGTTCACAATTCTCTGAACTAGTTCTAACATGATTTCGTGTATTTATTTTAAAAATAGTATTAGAAATTATAATTTTTTGGTATATTTGCTGCAATTGGTAAGTTAAAAGACTTATGTTATTATCCATCCACTAACATAATTAACGATTTATCGTCTTTTACATAACAAAAAAATGTTGCAGTGCTTGAAGTATTTGTACATTGCCCATATTTAAATTCAATATTTTAGCAACGTTCTACATACATGTAGGTACTTAATGTGCTTGTAACAACATTTATTTTCCAGAGAAATTTCAAGAATAAAGCAGGCACGTATCATCGATTTTAAAAGGATGACAGCCAGAGAATTTTTTTTTACCTGAAAAAAGTTGACAAACCAATTAAAAATTAAGAATAAAAAAGGCAACAAATGCCCAAACTCGAAAATCCCATCTCCATTTGTTAAAAAAATCACTGCCCGTCTTTTACATGTTTTACTTTGTTTTTTAGGAGATTACACATAAATTGTGGATTATGATCATATGCGTGTAAGTGCCCTAATAATGTTATTTTATCTGTCTAAATGTAGCACACAACACTCATAGTTGATGATATCCTTGGAATGCCATACACCGAAATTAATCTTAATGATATATTCATTCAAAGTAATCGTCATTTATCATGAAATGCCAACATAATGAGCAGAAGTTGATGTTAAATATGAAAAGAGTATTACTGTTTTTAGTTTTCCTAATTTGGTACACTGTAAGGTGTGATTTTTTTTACGGACATTAAAATGTTTGGTAAGTGAACAATAAAGAGGAGTCTCCAAAATATAATATTGTTTCATTTTAAACAAATTTAGACACATAATAAAACCCTGTTGTAAAATAAAGTTTTTGAAAGTTGTTGTATTTTGCTGGATAGTTATTTTGAGGATTAAATTTATTTGTGAATAAAAATAATAGGCTTACCGTATAATTATACTCGCCTATAAATCGGTCCGCCTATAAGTCGGTTGTATTTTTTAAAGGTTATTTTGCAGGGATTTGCCTTGACCCGCCTATAAGTCGGTACAACACTTTGTCAGAATCAGATGACAATTTCTAATAAATGTTCTGATGTTTTAATCTGATTTTACTCAATATTTTGATAAATTTAGTCGATATTTTACTTTAAATCATAAAAAATAAATAATGCATTCTTAAGATAAAAAATATAAGATATTTGTATATAAATACTTGTACTTTAATCTTAGAAAACATAAATCATACTGATATAAGTCGGACATAGACTTTTGAGCTAAAATTTTACTCCCCCAAAAAACGACTTATAGGCGAGTATATACGGTACTAAAGGTTCTCCGAGATGTTATACATTACGCGTATGCAATATATGCAATTTGTTTGTGTTTACACCTTCGATACAATGACTTTGTCAGCAAGTACAATTTATCATTGAGTCAAATGCTGACTGATATTTTTCATACTAATTGTTAATCCATTATTTATACCTGAATTGACGACCTTTTTCCCGTTATATCCCGGTCATGACAAGGAGCACACGGCGGGTGTGACCGGTCAGCAGGGGATGCTCACTTTTCCATGGCACCTGATCCCTCCTTTGATGTTTTGGAGGTCCGTGTTTGCTCTGCTTCTATTTTGTATTGTTTTATGGACTTTGAAATTGAAAACTGTCCCTTATCTCCATATTCATTTTTACGCCATTCTTCACAATATTAATTTTTGTAAACGCTAATGAAATCAAGTGTGATGATTAAGATGTCAAATCTAATATATATTTATAAAGATTATATTTTTTCCCTAGAAAATGATGCCTTTTTTTAAATAAATGTATCACCAGGGACGAGATGAACGTTAAAGAATTTTTATAATCACGATCAGAAAGAAGGCACTCTCATTAGTTTTATTCTCGTTTCATTTCCTGAAACATTATTCATTTACAAAACAAAATGAGGATTTTAAAACAGTTAAGTTGAATATGGCATTAATATTTTTCTTATGTTACGTTACACATGTGACATAACTTTTGAATCACCTTTTACATTAACTTTGCAATGTTTTTGATGTGCCATACAGATGGCTTCTATGTTATTCTCATCAATCAAGATCATTATAATTATAGTCCGGATTTAATTTCAGGGAAAAAGCATGTCATGTCATTTAAAACAGTGCGCTTAGTGCATAGAGTGACAAGTCATGTAAATTATTGTCATTTATTCTATAAATATGTACATATAAATATTATTCTTACTTTTGAATTAAACAACGACTTTGAAAGGACAGTAACACGATGAATTTGGAAATATTCCTTACTCTGGCACTTTTGTGTTTTACTTGCGTTAGTATTATCATTTTTAAAAATAATTTTTATTGTTTTAATGATTTATTCTTCCGGGAATCCCTGTTTGAAATCATTTGTAAAACTTAAAATCAATTTTGAAGGGTTGGCCGAAGGGTATAAGTTCTTCAAAAGCAGTGGAAGTTAACCAAAAGACAAGGTAAAATTTAAACTATAGATCTGTCTACTAGCAATCTGTAGAGAAATTGTAGCATTAATATTAAAATGAATTAAGAAAAATTGCTTCTTCTGCAGTGTCTATCCCAGACGGAGCTCAGGCAGAGAAAACATCCATCGTCACGATGAAAATTCAGATGAAAATTCAGATGAAAAACAGGTATTCTCTCTTAAGTTTAAAATATATATATTTCTTATTAAATTCATTAAATTCACAATTCATTCTAGTTATGCACCAGTGATTGAAGATTCGGGGGTATGTAGTGTTTAACCTGCTCGTCCGTCTGCATGTCTGTCTGTCTATCTGTTTGTCTGTTTATCCGAAAACACCTTAACATTGGCCATAACTTTTGTGTGGCTTTGTTTGGCTTTCCTATTTTACAAGTGTATTCCTTGTGACAAGACCTTTCCTTGGGCACCACCAAATTTGACCTTGTGACCTTGATCTTCGAGTTTGACCCACTTTTATAAAAAATGTCCAAACTTTAACCTTGGCTATATCTTCAGACTAGTTGGTCTTAGGGCTGTCATACTTCACATGTGTATTACTGTGGCAACACCTTTCAAGGGATATAATAATCTTTCATATTTTGAACGTTACCTATGAGTTTGAACCATGCACTTTTAAAAAACTTTGACCTTAACCAAATTTTTTGATTTGTTAGTACTAGGGCTGTCATGTAAGTTAAAAATTGTGGACCTTGGGGGTGGACAGATGCTACCATAGTAGAAAAATCTAATGATCATTGATTTTAAAATGCAAACATCTTCAGACAGCAATGATTTAATTTTCATCAAAGCAATGCACAGGAGAGTGATTAGTCCAATTTTTTAAGAGAAAAAAGTTAATGGTTCTCAGGTGAACATTTCAACCCACGCGTCTCTTGTTTTTTAAGTCAGTCTCAAGGGAATCCAAAGAAGCTGAAGAATCTGATGAAAATGATTTAAAAGAAGATAAAGCACTTGCAGTCAGTGCTGATGAAAAGAGGGGGAATGAAAAAGACACAGTATCAATGACAACACCGAATTCGCCAAGAATAAGTGAAAATACAGTAACGATGCCTGTTTCTCAGGAAAAGGATTGTCCTACGCATTCTGGGAATGATGAAATCTGCTGGAATTTTGAAAAAGAACACTGCGAGTTCCTCTCCTATGTAGGCGTGGTAAGAGTAACTTGGTCTCTCAATTTACTGCACACCCCGATTACGATTACATGTAGTACAATAGTCTCATGTAAAAATTGTGTAACCTTCCGGTTTGACCATCAAGTTAATCCTCACCAGCTACGCTGAAACCTATTGATATTGTGTAAGAATCAAAGTACTGAAACTAGTGCAGGACGGAGGAATAAATACAACGTTTTCCCATAATTTCAGTATCGTTTGTATACGTAATATTCTGTATCAAATATAACTATGAATAAATTCGTAAACCTTTTTTGTGTTAAATATAGCTTCGCCAACCTCAATTATTCGAGATTATTATTTTTAATTTTTGACTTTAAAAAAAAAAAATAATTTTTACATTATTTATCTTTTAAGACAAGGTTATCAAAATGTCGCAAAAAATAAAAAGAAAAAACTAACAGAAATAATATTATTTTGAGAAAAGGTTCATAAAGAATATACTAAAGTAAATAAACAATTTAGATCATATACGAACATGTCATATGAATGATATTCATGATCTACATATTTCGTGTTAATTTTTAATGAAAAATACATCGAAAAACTGTGAAAGTTTGTGAAGACATTTCCACATTTTGTCAATTACTTTTAACAAGTTTACCATCTACGAATTGTCGCCTTAAGCAATGATAGAAAACATTGTGTAGTCTGCTTAAATAGGGTTAAAGAATTAAGTTTTCAAGACAAACTGTAAATGAATGTTGCGCTCAACACATTTCTCTAAATATCAGCAAATACCTTTTTTTAAAAAATCAATAACAGCTTATCTGATTGTATTTTTTCGCAGTGTATATTTGTTGCAAATAGGAGTGCTATATGTATGAGCTACAAAAGTAGCACGGTGGTGAAGATTATTATACTGCAGTTATATTGAAATTGGATGCACAATCTGCAATCACCAATTTTTGCTTGCATGAATAATTTCTGTCTATTATTTGTGATATCAATACTTAAAGATTTTTTAATTTTTCTCCCTAGTTCATTATATTTTATTTTAATAATTACTTATGCCGCTGTATTATCATAATCGTTTTTTAGTTTTCCTATGGAAGGTCTTGTGAAAGTGATGATGATTGTAAGGGTAAGTTTCTTTTTATCTCTTTATGCTCATATATATGCATAGAAGTATACTTCACAGTTAAAGTGCCCAATGAAAATATTAATTTTGTTTGTATTATACAAAATATAATCATAAATGTAGTGGTAATTGTTTGTGGTACTGTACCAGATAAATGTACTTATTGTTTTAAACAACGTTTTGGGGATGTTGAGATTTTACTTTATTCCGTGTGGCAGTCACCAGGTTCTAGTTTATATACTTGTAGTATGTGACATATAAATTACAATAGTGCAAGGACATTGCCGATTTTAAATTTTTCAATCTATTTAAAAAATATAAACCCATTGTATTTTGTCAAATGTTGCAATAATTCAAAGATTCTAATAGATAGTGCAAAATCATAATTAGTAAATGGATGAAAACTTATTGATAGTCTTTTTTCGGCTTTTTAACTGCAGTAAATCTAGAAATAACCATATCATCTTTAAGATTTTAACTTGGTCGCGAAGTTTTCAAATAGCTTAAGTCTTTATTATTTCAAAAGTAAACACTTGACGTGATTATTTAAAGCTACATTGTATGCTCTTGCACATGATCCACTTCTGAGGATCCCCTTATGTACCAATAAATGGAGTCTCGTTTACACGGACGCTTTGATTTCCAGTCAAAATCGTCCGGGTGGGTGAAGCGTACAGATACATGTACTGAAATTTGCTTGATTTGAGTTATATGATCTTTAATGCTATTGGCAATAGAACTAGATACTGTATTAAAAAACTCGGATTCAACGTAACACTACAGTCTCATTAAATGCTTATTTAAAACTGGATCTTATTAGCCGGGCTTATTGCTCAAAGAGCAATTGCCGGTGTAAAGAGGAATAATGACCCCATCGAATAATGACCGGGGGGTCATTTTTCAACGACAAAAAATGACCCCCACCTGTAGAAAAAAATCATTTTTTGTAGAAAAAGAGTCCTAGGGGGTCATTATTTTATATGTTAGTCCTATAAAATAATGACCCCCATTGCAAAATGACCCCTTTTAAAGTGATACAAAATATACACTCTTTAATATCTTTTTTACAGCGAAACTAATTTTTACATTTTCTGTAACCAGAAAAATACAAAAAATCGTATGAAATAATAAAGAGATTCACGTAGTCTTTCAATGCTAAAATTGTGTTTGAAAAGAGTTTCTTTAATTATCAAGTAAATAAAATTTCTTTACAATATTCCTCCTTATAATGTTTGCTTGAAGAATGATATTCCACTTGTTTTTAGAAAAATCAGGTGTAAATGCTCTTTAATAGGAAAATTTAAATTTTTCGTCATTTCAACTTTTAGCTTGTTTAAGTTTGGCAAATCCTATCTGACAATGAAGGAGGAGGAACTTTTTATCCCCCCCCCCAAAAAAAAGAACATTACGTTAAATCAAAACAAAAATAAATAAATAAATAAATAAATGAAAAATATAAATAAAACTCTATACCTTTCAATAATTCTGAAAGAGGCTCTAGATAAAATATTGAAATGAAGTTAAGCCTTCACACAAGTACTATCATATCATAATTTACTTCGCCATGATTAAAGCATACTTTAAATGTTGGTGGAGGTATACTTGAAAGTATTGTGGCAAAGTAACAGTTAAAAATTAGTAGAATAGTAGATTATTTTAAGCTTATTTTTAATTCCTTCTTATAGAAAAATAAAGGCAGGGTGTTTTTTTTTTCTTTTGTTCAATGGGGTAAGTATAAGACCTAAAAATATGCTCTGTAAAGCTATGGGCTAGTGTAAAATACACAGTCATTCTAATGCAAAAACTATACATGTAGACATAAACTTTTGATTTAGCACACAGTATTCATTACATTTCTTTTAACGTAGAACCTACTTCGTATGACATCATAACTGGTAAATGTGTTTAACCTGTGCTAGATCCATTATGACGTCATAATTAATTCAATGCCACTTTTTCTTGTACTTGAAAGCTTCAATAGAAATGGTAGAAAATACTGTATTTTGAAATTCACAGAATTCAATCATGCCGACATAATCTTAATTCAATTCATATATTTTTTGGTTTATAATGCTTAATGGCAATATATTTCTGGAATAAGAAAAAATATGTAGGCACCTTTTATTTACTAGATCTAGACTTGAAGTTGACAAACCCAAGACTATCTAGTGTAATGAAATTACAATGTACATACAACTTTCGTAATAATTTGAATGGTATGTAACCAGTTTGAAGGAATGCATTAATCGTAAGAAATCTTTTGTTGCCAGCTATATAGTGTAATATCTTGATGAAATGTGTCTAAGTCAAAGATGTACGTGTTGTAGATCGTTTGATCGTGTGTACATTTTTGTGATATCTATAATGAAATGATGTGCATTCCGTTTAACAATTATTTGTTACCTATTCATATTCTTGGTGTTTGATTACAATTTTTCTATTAAATATGATCTTTTTAAAGTAAAAGTACAATTTCTGATAAAAAATTTAATCTGAAAGTAACCCCAAACAGTTATTTAATTAATAAATCCCGTGTAAGTGCAAAAAGGTCAAGAATATGAGTATCGGTAAATAGCCTATCTTTCATTAGTTAGAGGGGAAAGGTATATATTTTAATCACTTTTTGTAATCATTTGGCTATGTTCTTCATCATATTAAAGATTGAAAACATTGTGACAAAGACTTCTAAAAAATATTTACAAATGCAGGGTGCATAATTGACTAAAAATAATAGAGTTCATTTGACAATTTTTTTTAATGGTGGACTTATCTTTTATCTTAATTGAATAAAAAAGAAATTATTCTTGATAAAATATTGTTTAATATTATTCAGTTAATAAAGTTTATAAACGACGATGTTTGAAGAAGTATTTTTGTGATTTTTCATATTCCCTTTATGACAAGTACCCCTAAAAATATTTGAAAATGTGAAGTCGCAGTATGTAAATACCATACCAAGTTTCACAGCCTGTTCTAGATTAACAAGGAAACATATCATGATATTTTAACTGATTGATAAGAAAGTACTAATTTATCATTTTGAAAAGTTTGAAAATCTTGTGACAAAGACTTTTCCGACATAGGTTCTACCTTAATTCTTGATTTACTCCACCCTTTTACTCAGTTCTGAGTATATATTTCAGAGAATTTAAGGGGGGACCTATGTCTGAAAAGTCTTTGTGTGAAATTTTTAAAACTTTGACATTTCTTTCCTGACCACTTGCTCTTAATTTTTAGGTATTAAAAATAATACCTTTATATTCTTGTGTTTACACCGGAGCACGTGCAAAAACAGTGCGAAATGCTTAAAATAGTCTATTTTGAGACATTATTGTTTTACCCCAAATATGCTCGAAAAAGAACCAAAAATGTCAAATCACTTCAAAATCAACAGGTATTTCATTTGTATGACTTGTATCTTTAAAATCAAAGCAAATTTATTGTAATTAATCTCGCCTGAAAAATTATAATGGAGCACAATGTAAGTATCACCCCGTTTTTCTTGTCGTATTTTTTATAATTCCGACATGCATAACAGGTAATATCTTAAAAAGTCTTTGTGTGAAAATGTTGTAATTCATATTATTTGAAAGAGATGATTCCTCTCTTTCTTTTAACAGATAAAAAATTATACCTTTATGATAAAATAAACGAGAAATATGACGTTTTCTTTTATTTTCGTACGCTTGTGTCATAAATATTGACCTTTCTGCACTAAAAAAAGGTACGTACATCCGAATATAAAACTATTTTGCGAAAAACGAGTATTTTGTTTTGGTTAGGAACAATTTAAACAGATTAATTCTTTTCTTCTTCATTCCAATCATTCTGCCATTCTGCCCCCCCCCCCATTTCCCCGTCAACAACCAACACCTATTAGAACCTATGATTGACTTTATCGCAATAAAATCTACATGTACTATAAATGAATTATTAAGCAAATGTAGGTACAAGTACATTCTTTTTTTTCTTAGTTTTATCCAGAAAATACAATAAATTGTAAACATAAAATTAAACATATTTTCCTGATTTAAGCCGCTTTCTTTGCGGAATTTTATCTTATCTTTTTGCACTTATATATCAGCATATCATCGTGGTATTTATTCACAACTGAAATTGCTATTAATTATCAACCAAAAAATGAAATAATTCTAATATTAATAAACTCCATAAATCAAAACTGTTATTAATAACAAATAAATTTTCTTTTTGTAAATTGGGTACGTTATTGATTGTTAACAATGTTATGCCTATATCACAGTTGCAAAAGTCAACAGGTAAAAACAAACGTCGCTATTGTGACGTCACATAACGCTGTTTTGACGTAGAACGACATAGGTCCCCCCTTAATTTGAAAATCAGAACAAACATTTTCATTCTTGTAACGTCTTCTTTATAATGTATCATAATGTGAAAAGTTAATTGAAGACCATTTCTTTTTATGTCCCCGTAATCGAAGATTCGGGGGTATATAGTTTTATCATGTCCGTCTGTATGTCCGTCTGTCTATCTGGCGGTTTGTTTGTCCACAAAAACCCTTAACCTTGACCATAACTTTTCATTTATTAGAGCTATGACTTTCATATTTAATATGTGTATTCCTTGTGACAAGACCTTACTTTGGGTACCACCAAATTTGACCTTTTGACCTTTAACTTGGAGTTTGTCCCACTGTACACAAAAATGCCAAATTTTTACTTTGGCCATAACTTTAAAACGGTAGATACTAGTACTCTCATACTTCAAATATGTAGTTTTTTGGCATTACTTTTCATTGGATACTAAAAACTTTGACGTTTTGACCTTGGAGATTTCCGTACTTTTGATTTTTTTTACCTTGGCCATAACTTTTAAACGGTAAGGGCTAGGGTATTCATACTTCATATATGTAATCCTTGTTACATTAAACATTTTCTTAAGAAATCATCAACTTTGACCTTTGAGTTTGACCTACCTATCAAAAACTTATCCTTAGCCAATACTTTTGAACAAGTGGTGCTAGGGCTTTCCTATTTTGCAGTTGTATTTCTTGTGAGAAGACCCTAATTTGGGTAACAATATATCTAAATTGCATTTAAGAAAAGTTTAATCTTCGCTATGTTGCCATACAGGGGCATAGCTGTTTCACAAACACATCTTTTTATATATGAGGATTTGCGGATAAGAAATGGATACCTCAAAGCGTAACAGACGGACGGACGGACATCCCGATCACTATATACCCTCCCGCTTTTCAAGCGGAGGATATAATAACATATAATACTGCTGATTTTTTCTGTCAGTTCGATGATTTCCACCATCAAAAAACAATGTTTACCTAACCCTTAAGGCTTGATAAATCTTTTACTCCTTTAGATTCTGAATCATTGCATTGACCTTAAAACATAGCTATAATTGTATAATGTTATGAGATCAACATATCATCAGTTTATTCCCAATAAGCTCAGGTGAGCATTTTGGCCAATATGCTTCTTTATCTAATTTTTTTTGCCCCCCCCCTAAAAATTTTAGCTTTAATCTACAGGGGGTCATTTTTTCTACGGGGGTCATTTTTCTTCACGTGGGTTCTGCAAATTTTTAGGGAAGTGACAGTTTTTCTACGGGCAAAAGGGTCATTTTTCGACGTCGAATAATGATCGGGGGTCATTTTTCGCTGTCGAAAAATGACCCCCGGTCATTATTCGATGGGGGTCATTATTCGTCTTTACACCGGCTTATGTGATCCTGTTCAAGGCAGGATGTTGACCCCATAGTCGCCATTTTAAAGTTACGTGCAAAAAAAATATTTTTCTTACTCTCAACCGCTTTTGAGATAATACAAACGCTAAATAAAGCAACAAAAATAAAACGAATTTTTATCTATATAAAATAAACATTAGTAGTAATGACTTTGAAAACTTCATAAGTCAAAGAACATAGTTCATTAGCGTAAGGAATTTTGATAATCAGTGTTACCGTAGTTCTCTACACATACGAGGTAAAGAAGGAGATGGGACCAGACTGGCCTGTTTGTTTACATTCAGTAGCGGTACCAGATTAATTCTGATTCTGACAAAATCGGACCGTGGTATTAGGATTGAAAAACTCACTATTAGTGTCTTATCATTTATATTGATAGCTTTAAAATAATTTTTTTCATCAGAATATAAACGTGATTCATGTAGGAAATCCATTCTACTCTGTAAATGAGCCCGGCTCTCTGTACTTCTGAGTACTTTGATATATAGTTATTATCATCATCAGTAACGGAGTAATAGACTTTTCCAGGTAAGAGCGCCACAAGCTCGGACTCGTTCTCTGTACTACTTCGATACATAAGGGGTCGTATAAAAGTTTTTTAAAAGGGTTATAAAGCTATATACACTGTACTAAGTATGGCGTATCTGAAATAAAAAAAAAGTAAAACTCGAGATTAATCAAAAATTAAGATAATATTGCTATCTAAATTCAAAATAAAATCACCGATTTTGAACCCAAATATCATCCCCATATTTCTATACATGTAGGTTAAATTAACTTTAAACTGTTTTAGAAATGTTATTTTTATCCGAGTCGGAAATAAATCGACTATTGTTTTAAATCTCGGATTTCTATGTAACGCGATTGATTTAAATTATGTTATTTACAGGAAAGTCTTATCTTTATTTAAAGTAACAAAACAAAGAGAATGATCATTTTGATTTTAGTTAGTCTGAACTTATGAAAAATACGCCATATATGACTTCAGATGCTACATAATACGTTGCTTTTTCTAGGAAACAGTGTTTTTGTTTTTTGTAAGTAAATCAAATTTTGACACGCCCCCTTAAAATTTTTGAAATAACTGTCAGAGTCAGTGTGCTAGTACGGCCTCGAGATCGCGAAATCTGGAAATGTCTTTTATGAAGAGACTGACTTTTACATTCGACAGCTGACTTTTACGTTTTAGCAATTGGAGTTGGTCTTTGTTTGAATTGTAGACGTCAATCGTCGATTGTAAAAGTAAGTCTCTTCATAAAACTCCAATAGTAACATGCTTATGTTTTTTTCCTAGAGTCTGATCCGTGCCAAAGTGGAAAATGCTGTCATATTCCCTGTGATAACTTGAATAATCAGATGTGCCGGTATCCAGTAGATAATGCAGGAAATAGATATAATATAGCAAATTCTTTCTATCCAGAATGGAATCGGGATAGCTAAGGTTTTTTTTTTTTTTTTTTTTTAAAGTGTCTATGTTTATAGAAAAAAAAGAAGCAATCTTTTTGACGTAAAACAATAAAGACAATACAATACCATATCGAATGACATTTTTTTTTAAATTGGAGTTTACATATAGGTCTATAATACATTGTAATAATAAGAATGATATATAAATTCTTTTATGCCTTCCTCTTTCAACAGGACAAACAAAAATTAGACCTAGTTCATGCTAATTTACCCTGTTATGACGTAACACCAGATTATATTGCGAAATATTTAAGCTCAAAATGAGGTTTTTTTTATTAATAAACATGTAAAATACATGCATGTAAAATAAAAAAAGATTTTGATATAAGAGTACATGATGAACTATAACTAAAAAGACAAAGAAAAAAAGCATGCAAAAACCCTCAAAAGGAAATAATACATTATCTCCAAAATACAAAAATACAAAGTAAGCTTGGCCTTGCTAGGGCCACCAGGAAAGTGAACTCGTTCCTAAGTCACCGAGGCCAAGCATTGACGTACTCGCCGCACCTAAATAACGTCATATGACGGATACGCGCCGTCATACATTAAAACACGTCCCTTAGTTTCATTAATAACCAAAATTTAGATCCGTGCTTGCGTTCACAAGTTTCATTTTCTTAAAGAAAACTTTGTACCAATCCTTCACTTACTCTTTCCATAATTAATTCGTCTGTCAAAATTTTTGGTACAGAAGTATAAGACCAACTTACAATTTCACATATCGCTCTAAACGTCTGTCTTTTTTGACAACATCACACACCATTGAACGGTTCGTCCCCCCCCCATCTTTCGGTCTTCTTGTCCTTTGCTAAACATTTAATAACCTATCACTCACCCAAATCGCTAATACGTGTCTTATATACATTCTTTTCTCCGTGAATCTGGTGAATCAACGTAACTGTCTCTACTGGCGATTTTTCAATTTTAAAGCAAAATGCTTAATGATTACAGTGTTTTTTTTGTTTTTTTTTTGTCTATTTCGACATTTCTTTTTTTCAATGCACAGGAGTAAAAGAACGAAGTTTTTGATCCAAAATAGCAGTTATGCTATGTAATTTTCAACTTTAGACTACAAAATATTGTAAATTTTTATATTTTAAAATATTTTTTGATTACGCGCTTTTAAAAGATGCTTTTTAATGTGTTTGTCTATTTTATTCCAAAAGCACACTTAAATCTGTGACGTTCTGTTATGACGCGGCGATACCCCCAATGTTCTATGTTTTAAACATCTATAAAATAACATTAGTTAAACATTATTGAATGAAAATTTCAAGTTTAATTTGATTCATATCTGTGCTTCTTTTGATATATTATCTTTGATAATATGACGCCAAATATAAAAGATATGGACACTGTGACATTACTTTTGGATCAAGCCTCGTATAATGGATGAATACAGCACTGTCTTAATTCTTTCGAGTTTACAAACAATACTAGTCGTAAGAAACTGATTTGAATACAGTGGAGCCTCATTTATCCGTACACTTTGGTTCCTAGTCAATTTGTCCGGATATGTGAAGCGTCCGGATATCTGAATTACCAGTTAAACAAGACAATATAACATTAAAACATTTCCGTTCCGATTAATAATCGTCCGGATACTGAAGCATCCGGATATCTGGCGTCCAGATATCTGAAGGTCCACGTACTATACTAGTATTCAAAACAGCCTTCCGAAAGACTTGATTTGCAGAGAAAACAAGAGGCCCAGGGGCCACAGCACTCACCTGAGCACATCGGCTAGGAAAAAGTACATATCAGATCAGAACTGAAAGTTTACTAACGTTGGGGTCGGGGGGGGGGGGGGGGCTTGAATTTTAACCCCCAGGAGATCATGATTTGAACGGACTAGAATCTACACAACCTGAGGGTGATTCCATATAAATATTACTAACCATGGCTTTGAAGTATTTGAAAAGAAGATTTTAAAAGGTTTCCCTTTATATTCCTATGTAAAACTTTGAACGGCCATTATGGCCCCACCCTAGCCCCGGGGGTCATGATTAGAACAAACTTGAATTTACACTACCTGAGGATAATTTCACATGAGTTTCATCTTTCCTGTCTTAATGGTTTTTGAGAAAAAGATTTTTAAAGATTTTTCCTATATATTCCTATGTAAAATTTTGATTGGCCATTATGGCCACACCCTACCCCAAGTGGTTATGATTTGAACAAACTTGAATCTACACTACCTGAGGATGATTCCACATGAGTTTCATCTTTCCTGTTCCTATGGTTTGTGAAAAGAAGATTTTTTCCTATATATTCCTATGTAAAACTTTGATCGACCATTTTGGCCCCACCCTACCCCCAGGGGTCATGATTTGAACAAACTTGAATCTACACTACCTGAGGATGATTCCACACGAGTTTCATCTTTCCTGGCCTAGTTGTTCTTGAGAAGAAGATTTTTAAAGATTTTTCCTATATATTCCTATGTAAAACTTTGATTGGCCATTGTGGCCACACCCTACTCCCGGGGGTCATGGTTTGAACAAACCTGAATTTACACTACCTGAGGATGCTTCCATATAAGTTTCATCTTTCCTGGCACAGTGGTTCTTGAAAAGAACATTTTTAAAACATACCATCAAATTTTCACTATTTTTCAATTATCTCCCCTTGAATAAGGGCTTGGCCTTTCATTTGAACAAACTTGAATCCCCTTTACCTAAAAATGCTTTGTGCCAAGTTTGGTTGAAATTGGCCCAGTGGTTCTTGAAAAGAAGTCGAAAATATGAAAAGTTAACGACAACAACGACGACGACGACGACAACGACGAGGACAGACAACGGACAAATTTTGATCAGAAAAGCTCACTTGAGCCTTCGGCTCAGGTGAGCTAAAAACCCACTTTTATTACAAATTCTACAATTAAATACAAAAATGTCTCCGACCATATTGTTTTTGAAATATATACATTTGTGGTATCTCTCCATTATATAAACATACAGAGAGAAAATATCTTCAATTCTGTATGAAGTTTGTCAGAGGTCAGAGGTCAATACGTGACCTAATCACGCGGCGCAATAATATCTACCGGTACATAAATTATAAAATGACCTGCTCTACTTGCTTTTCATGTATAAAAATGAATAAAATAAGCAAGTAAAATGATAAATCTTTTATTTTAAATGTAAACAAGTATTTCATACAGTTTTGGGGCTATCGATTCAACCTGTGTACATAGAGAAAACTAGGTGCCTAGCGTTTGTTTACATTTTTCTTCACTTTTGTCAGCTGCACAGTCTCTAACGTTCATCCTTATTTTTTGGATAGACCTTTGGTTAAATTTTCATGATAAACTTTTATTTTATCTTTAAATTTTACTCACGATAAATGTGTAAATCTGTTGGAAAATGTCTTTGCAATCATGCCATGAACAGCTGCCAAACACCTCGGCGTTTTCGTAGTTCAATGTAAAGCTGTCGCCAGTGTCTCCGTGTTTGTTTATCAGTGTTTTACGATAAGTATGCCTTTAGATACTGAAACCGTGGAATGTTTTTGATCAAATTGCAAATTAACTGTCTCGGACAAGTGTCTCAGTCCATCGGATCCATCCATCCCTTTCCAGCGACCGAAATTCCTCCAACTTTTTATCCTCAAACTTCGGACGTGTTTCTTGTGTCTTTTCAGCATTGACTATCATTTTTCACGAATAAAATATTCCCAGACAACAATCTGTTCACTATTACTGATCAAAAGTAGCCTTTCACAAAATATTCCCCTCGAAATAGATTCCTTGGCCTAATGAATTCGAAGCGTAACCGCCATGCAAGCCGATTTACACCTTGCGTCATTTTTCAAAATCTACGACGGATGGTTAGTGCAATAATTTAAATTCGAAAACATTCAATTGTCTGTCTCAAATGTATATATAAGTAATAAATAACAAGTTTATAAACTTCAATGGGAATTGAAGTGATGATCAAATCTTCTGAGAAGGCCTTCGGCCTTCACAGGATTTGATCACGTGACCGACCCACTTCAATTCCCACTGAAGTTTATAAACTTGTTATTTATTTCTTAATTAATACACGAATAATTAAAGAGAGTAGAAATACTTAAACATTTACAGGAGTAAGCTTTAGTAAAATCCAAAAAATACCCATATGTTCAGATGTAATATGAAACTTTGAGAAACATAAAAAGGAGGGCTTGGAGAGAGGATCATTCCATTATTCTAAGAGTGTTGTCAAGAAAATGCAAACATTTTAAGTATCTTTTTAATTTAAAATCTAAATGAAGCATGAGAAATTATTAAATTCTTTTGAGTGCTACATAGAAATTTTGATAAAATATATATCGTTAACAAGAACAACATTTTACAAAAAGCTCTCGGCGCAATACTGACAATATTCGAAATAAAAGTGCAAAATTATACACTGTCTTTGCCTTGTTCTATTATCCACTAAAATTTTATTCACTTGCAACAAAGTTGGAGGGTATAATGGTAGCACAATCGTGTGTGTGTGTGTGTGTGTGTGGGGGGGGGGGGGCCTTGTCTTGTGCGAAGAGGAGGTACATAGGAATTTGCATCGGGATCGATATCAAATACTGCCTTGATTTATGGATATGATCTTGGCAAGGGGTTTGGTGAAATACAAATAGATATTACTTAAAATAACTTAAACATTTAGAGTGCTTGTATCAAAATTTCAAAATGTGATTAATTATCTATGCAAATAAGAATATTAAATACGTTATTTTACCTGGAAAAGTCATTAGGAAAGAATTATTTTGGTGTCTGCCAGACCACGACTAACAAAAAAAATCTATATTTGTGTGCTGGGTAATAAACGAGAAAGACAATAAATTAAGAACTGGTCTACGCAGATATATCTGCTTTTTTCCCATAATTTAAGTGATTATAATCATTTAATTTTAAAGTCTTAAAAAGCTTAGAAAAATATAATATTGATAATTTTAACAGCACTTTATGCTTAAAAGATTTATAATTCAATTCCGCTGTGGACGAATTTGTTTAAAATTATTGGCTTTTGAAGATATTAAAGTATTAAGGAAGGCCCACACTTTTACGGATCCGGT